GATTGAAATGGTTATTTTTGTCCTTGTGCTGCTAAATCAATCTGTCTACAACCTATACTTTATTTAACTATTGATGAAAGAATAGGTATCTCCACTTCATTTAACTATTAACTATTGATGAAAGAATGGTGGATCCATGTATATGTAAAATAGCATTATGATAAAAAAAAAAATCTCTATTACATAATAAAGGAAATAAAAATCCTAAAAAAGGGGATTAATTTGAAGCATTGATTATTTGGTAGATAATAGATTGATAACATCCTTCTTCCAAGTATACATACATTTTTTTAACAATAAATATCATGTGCAAACTAAAAGTGATGTTTTGAAAATATTAAATAAAATTTATTTTCTTTATAAATTTATTATAATTTCATATATGTTTTTAATTTTAATATACTATGATCAATTATCGGTACAACATAAAACAAACCAAAATGGACATTTCACTCCACTTTAAACTTAAACAATCCAATTCAAAAACTACAAGAGCTTCGTCGACCTGAAAGAAAATTTCTTTGAGGGTTTGATTGCAAAGGACATAAAAGTTTGAGGACTAATTTTATGATTTTTACTCGAAATCAACTCTGCGGTTTTGCCTAATTATTAGACAGAAAAAACTCCGACATCATCCAACACAGGGCCGCACATCTGTCCAAAATCCTGCAGCTTGGTATGGTAATAAGCACTGAAAAACGTGATTCTCGTCCTCGTCGAGATCGCCTGAAACTTGAAGCTCGCCGTCTTGAATCCGCCTTTCCCCTGCGACTCGTAAGGGACCTTGAGGGTGTCCTTGGCGGCGAAAGCCTCCACCATCATGGATCCGTGGCAGGCGTTCTTTGCATCTCCGATGGTGAACGTGAGGTTGTAGAATTTGTTTGGGACGGTTCGGATTACTTGGGCGATGGCGCTTTCTCTTCCGGCTACCAGCTCGATGGCGGCAAGGCCAGATGGGACTGAGAAGTGCTTCTTGTCGACGTATTTGACGGGTTTGAGGGATTCGATGATCCAGCCGGGGAGGGGGGAGATCACGTCGGATTTCTTTGGAGGGAGGAGGACGCCCGTAGAGAAGTTCTTGAAGGTGTGCGGACCCACTTCGAAGCCTCCGTTTTTGACAAGGTTGCCTGCTCGGAAAATTAATCCGGTTAGTTAGAAATTGCTATTACCATTCGGCTGAATTAATTTGGATAAAAAATTTTATTTATTTGTGTCTCCAAATCTACTACTATTTACGGAGTGTTTAGATTAATTATTTAAATATAAATAAAGGTTAATTCATTATAAATAACTAAATCAAAAAATTTATTTTTAAATAAATAAAAATCAATTCAATATAAATAACTAAATCAACATATTTAAATTAAGTTTAATTTTTATTGAATTGAGTAAGAATTTGAAATGTATATTATGTATTAACATAATGAGTTAAATTAAATTTAAAATAAAATTAATTTATATTTCTCTAATTTTTTTACAAAATAAGGATCCCTACAAAGTTTTCGTACATCGAAAAAAATTTTAAACATAATTTTGCAAGAAAAAAATGCTCTCATTCTTGTTTGTGTAGAGAAATATTATTCCTTACCCCACCTAGTGAAGGGGATCCTGCGGGACCGAGGTAAATTATCACCCTTATTTACCATTAACTTTTGTGTTTTTTTCTTTTTTTGTTTGATTATAAGGTGCACTTCATATATATGAATTTCATACATTATAAAAAATTATTATTTTTTATTTTAACTTTAAAACTTAAATCTTGAGTATTAGAATTTAAATTTTAAATTTAATTTATAAAATAATATTTATTTATCAATAGATGTAATAATTGAAATTAATTATTAGATTTGAGATGGTTAATAATTGAGTTTGAGCTCCATTGTACTGGAATACTTGTCAGCTACTCGTGAATAGCTTCCTTAAAATAAAAAATATATAAATTGTAATATTTAATTAAGCTTATAGTTATAATATTTTGATAAAGTCAATTGAGAAAAGAACAAAACATATGATTTTTTACTTAAAAATGAATTATTTAATTCTTTTTATAATAAGAATTTATTAAAAGAAAATAGTTTTGAGATTTTTTTTAGTTGATAAACACCTTTTAATGGTCGTACTTTAATTATTTTAAATTATACTATTAGGTCTTCTTATTTCAAATTAATCAACTTTAACCCAATGCCAAGTTTGAACTCTAATAAAACTATGCAAAACTTGATAAAATAATACTCATTTTGTTTATTTTTAGTAAATTTAGTTAAATTTTATAACTTTTAAAATATAAATTTTAGATAAAAT